TTGTAAAGACACTTTGTTAGTGGCGGTGTTAGTTGGATTCTGTGCAGCCTCGGAGGGGCCCGAAGATGTCCTTGTGTTGCAGTGAAAGGAATTGTGTCTGAGTGTGTGTGTGTGCGAGGTATAGTCATAAAATTTTTTTTGCGGGGGGGCGGAGGTGTGTGCATGCGTGTGCTGGAGTTGTCGGAGTTCTTGTGCGGAGTGTGTGTATATGTGTGTGCACATGTCCTCTGTGTGCTGGCGTGCTCAGAGTTCATGTATAGGAGGATGCTTGTGCATATATGTGCATGTGTGTACACATGTGTGCTGTAGTCATCGTAATTCTTGTGTAGGAGGGTGTGTGTGCATGTTCATGTATGTGTGTACACATAGGTGCTGGAGTCATTGTAGTTCTTGTGTAGGAGGGGGTGTGTGCATGTGTGTGCATATGTGTGCGCATGTGTCAGCGCATGTGTCCTGGAGTCGTCATTCTTGTATCGAAGGGTGTGTGCGCATGTGTGTACACACATGTGCTGTAGTCGTCATAGTTCTTGTGCAGTAGGGTGTGTGTGCATGCATATGTGCATGTGTGCAGGAGTCTTCGTAGTTCTTGTGTAGGCGGGTGTGTGTGCATGTGTGTGCTGTGTGTGGAGTCACCAGTGGCCTTGTGTGGCTGCTATGTGTGTGTGTGTACGTGTGTACATGTGTCTGCATCCCTCTTGTGCCTGTGACTGGTCTCGTCCCTGTGAGTCTCCTCTTTGCTATGTGTGCCCAGCGCCGGTCCTTGCTGCTGTCCAGAGGGCTGGGCTGGCCGTGCTGGGGGGCGGAGCCTGCACACCCCCTCTCACCATCTTCTTGCCGTGCCTGCCTTTGCGGTATTTTCTCCTGGGTCTTGGCTGATCCGTCTCATTCCAAACCTTAGGGGCGGGGTGCATATTTGGGGCTCACGAGCCTGTCTTGCTTTAGGATGGACCCAGGAAGCCGAGGCCCTGGGGCCTCAGGACTCAGGTTTCCCTCCTGTGCGTGGCATTTGGGCCACACCCGGCCCTGGATGGGGGTCGCTCTGGGTGGGGACCCAGTGGTGCTGGTGTGTGCCCCTGGGCCTTCCGCATGCAGAGCGTCTCCTCAGCCCAGGGGCTGGAGCGAGAGGACAGGGCAGAGGTGTGTGTGTGTGCATGTGTGTGTGCATGTGTGCAGGAAACTGGCACGTGGCTGACCCACGTTCCAGCCCTGCCAGGAATGATCCCTGAGCACTGAGCCAGGAGGAAGCCCTGAGCTCTAACCCTCCCTCGCATAATAAATACACCAACAAACCTGCCAGTGAGACGTTTGGTTCTTTCTTCTTGGGCTCTTGTTCAGTGCTTCCTCTGAATCCCTTCTCCGTGCAGTAAAGCGCTCTCTCACCTCACCACGCAGTCTCCGGAGCCACGGCTCTCACCAGGCCGGCCTTGCATCCTGTCACTTTGCTCCTTGTGGGCTGGGGTTTTCCTTCTCATCAGCATAAAGCCAAACCACACGCAGAGCCCCTCTCGGGCCCCGCAGCTCTGAAGAAGAAAGGCAGTTCATGGAGAGCTTCCGCCTGTATATAGGGTCTGTAAATAGGACGTGGGGGAGGATGGTTGGTCGCTGTGCAGTGGGGTGGCCTTTCGCAGAGAGCCCTGCAGGGGGGGCAGCAGGGAGGGACTCAGGAGCACTCAGTGGGCACTGTGAGCAGGACAGGGCTTCTCCTCCTGGAAATCCCCGTCCAGGGCGTGTTGGCTCTGGGGGGTCATCCATTCCTTGCTCACCCTTGTTCCCCCTGCAAACTCCCCGCCATGCTTAGCCTGCTCCACGCCAGGCTGCAGGCCGGGCTCCTTTGGAATCCACCCCGCTTCCCTTCAGCGGATGGATGAGAAGGATGACAGGCCTGGCTGGAACATCAGTGTCCTGAAGTGGGAGGCAGAGGCATAAGGTCATGGTTAGAGAGGAAGGACGGAGGGAGGGAGGGAGAGAGGGAGGGAGGGAGAGAGGGAGGGAGGGAGGGAGAGGGGAGCAATCCTGTTGGGCCTGGGAGAAGGGCCCAGAGGGTCGAATTTGTATCTGTGGGGGGCCCAGGCTCAATCCGCAGCACCTCCTGGTCTTCCTCTGAGCACCCAAGTGGGAGGGGCCCTGAGACCAGAGAAGAAAATGGAAACTGAGTCCCACGTAAGTCCTGATTGGCTCCTGCCACAAACTCCACTTGACGGTGATTGGCCAGGTACCGCGTGTTCACTCTGGGTTCCCAGACTGGAAGAGGGGAGGAGGACCCCCAACCCCCCGCCCCGAGTGGAAGGTGAGGAAGGAAGGGAGGTTTGCTTAGGTGCTCCGGGGGTAATGAGTCACGTTGTGGTGGGGCGCTGGCCTGTCACCCTGTCTGCAGAGCGGCCAGGGAGGTGTCACTGCCTGGGGCCGGGCAGGCTGGGAGCAGGTGCCCAAGGGGGTTTCTCAAAGCCAGGTCTGGGCTGGCTCCAGCGCCCGCCGCAGGAGCGGGGTTGGGTGGACTTCTTGGCGGAGGCTGCATTTATTTCCAGACGCAGGGCCACGGGCCGGACGCGAATATGGGAGTCGCTTTGTCCGCCTGAGGCTGGGTCGGCAGCACTGATTCTGCCAGGGGTGGAGATGGCTGGGTCTATTCTCATCGCCCGTTGACCTGCTGAGACCCAACAGTGGGTGAGCGGAAGCGTAGACCTTTCTAGAAGGCCCCCTCGGGGCAGGGGTGGGGAAGGCCTATGGTGAAGCCCTGGGCAGCCTTGTCCAAGAACCCTGGGCATGAAAGACTGTGTCAGGGCAGACGTGGGTGTGTGTGGGGGGGCGTTGGGGGATGGGCGGGAGAAGGGGGTGCTGCTCTTGGCATCTCAGTTGCTTCTACCCGCCCCACCCTCACCACTGGTCTGAAGTGATGCTTCTCAGCTACTCCTATCCGGCCCTGCACGCCAGGCCTTGGTGTCGGGTTAAGAAGGGAATGTTTTTTCTGAGGGGAGACATACGTGTGTGTGTGTGTGTGTGTGTGTGTGTGTGTATGTGTGTGTGTGCGCGCGCGCACGTGCGCGCCACCCTGGGGTGCTATCTCTTGAGGAGAAGGACGAGGCCAGCCATGGGGCTGACAGTCCCAGACAACTTTTTGTTTTTTTGTTTTTTGGGTCACACTCGGCAATGTACAGGGGTTACTCCTGGCTCTGCACTCAGGAATTCCTCCTGTCTGTGCTCAGGGGATCATATGGGATGCTGGGAATTGAACCCGGGTCGGCCGTGTAGAAGGCGAACACCCTACCCACTGTGCTATTGCCCTGGCCCCAGACCCAGACAACTTTTAGTGGTTCTGAGCACCTCACACCTCTAGCCTCACATTTTCCCCTCATTCCCCTCCCCTCACACCTCTTCCCTCACACCTCTCCCCCACCCCCATTTGTCTATCCCACCCATGCATGGGGGAGTTTCGGCCCTCACTAACCTCCACAGCCACAGCGAGGGGTCTGAAATGCCAGAAATCTGGGGAAGAGAGGGCGGGGCTCCCAGACTGAGGTGAGGGCAGGGGCCGTCTTCTTGCTGGGTGTCCCGAGGTCTCTGCTCTGTGCTGCCACTCTGGGTGCTGTCTGGTGGGGCATGTCTCCTCCTCTGACAGGGACTCCTGGTCTGGGTGGATTTGCATCCCTTGGAGACCCCATCTCCACAGACAGTTCCCTTTGGAGGGACTGGCGGGGGGGTGGAACTTCACACAGGAGCTGGAGGAGATGCCTGCTGGGCTTGGCCCCTGAGGCCACCGTGCTCTCCTGTGGTTCCTTACAGTATGCCGTGCTCTGCTATGGTCTGCTGTGATCTTCCATTGTCCACTGTGGTCTTCTGTGGTCCACTGTGGTCTGCCATGGTCTGCTGTGGTCTTTCCATGGTCTGCTGTGGTCTTCCATGGTCTGCGGTGGTCTGCTATGGTCGGCCGTGGTCCACCATGGTCTGCTGTGCTCCACCGTGTTCTTCCTTGATCTACTGTTGTCCATTGTGGTCTTCCATGGTCTTTTGTGGTCTGCCATGGTCTGTTGTGGTCTTCCGTGGTCTGCAGTGGTCTGCTATGGTCAGCCATGGTCCACCATGGTCTGCTGTGCTCCACCGTGTTCTTCCTTGATCCACTGTGGTCCATTGTGGTCTTCCATGGTCTTCTGTGGTCTGCTGCCTTTTTCCGTGGTCTGCTATAGTCCTCTGTGCTCTGCTGTGGTCAACACTAAGGTTGTGGTGCCTCCTCAGTCAGGCCCACACCTTCCCCATCGCTTGGGGAAAGGGGCGCCGTGGGGAGGAGCTGGGGTCAGGGAAGAAACGACCCAGCAGATGGGCTAAGCTCAGATCGTCTTGGCTTGAAGGGGTGCATATGACATCTCTGCGAGATATCCTAAGTTTGTTTGCGTGTGTGCGTGCGTGTGTGTGTGTGTGTGTGAGAGAGAGAGAGAGAGACAGAGACAGAGACAGAGAGATAGAGATAGAGATAGATAGATATAGAGAAAGAGAGAGAGAGAGTGTGTGTGTGTGTGTGTGAGAGAGAGAGAGAGAAAGAGAGAGAGAGAGAGAGAGATCTGCTTATCTTGCTAAGGCCCATGTCACCACATAAGTCCCTATAGCTATAAAAGATGTTTCACGGGTGCACACGATTTAGCTCCCACTGAACTCTGCCAATATTCAGCCGAATAATAAGTATGTAAGGTGCAGCAGAATTTATAATTGAACTTAGGGTCTGACCGTAAAACGAAAAACAAGAAAACTTGTGAAACCATGTTGGTGAAATGCAGGCTGGCTCTGGGCGTGCCTGTGGCCGGTGTGGGCAGTCGACCAGGAGTGAGTGGGACTGACCCCAGTCAGGGGCCGGTAGTGAGCAGGGCTGACCCCCCAAGGTGGGGGACCGAGAGTGAGAGGGACTGACCCCAGGCAGGGGGCCGGGAGTGAGCGGGACTGACCCCCAGATGTGTGGCCTTCCTAGCTTGGGGCTCTGCTTCTCACGCTGCCTTCTCTCTCACTCCTTGCAGAGGATCGGGTCGGCTTTCATCATGGGGGAAATAGAGCAGAAGCCGACCCCAGGCGCCCGCCTGGGCGCCCCCGAGAACTCGGGGATCAGCACTTTGGAAGCCGGGCAGAAGCCGCCTCCCGCGCCTTCCGGGAAGCTGATGTCTATCAAGATCCAGATGCTGGATGACACCCAGGAGGCCTTCGAAGTGCCAGTGAGTAGGCTTGATCTGTCTACAGTGCAAGGGGGTGGCCTGGTGGCGGGGGCAGCGGCTATGTCCTCAGCACCCCCACCCCACACCCACCCACCTAGGCCTCTCTCAGCCGTTCGGATTCAGAACTGTCGGCATTTCGGCTTCATGTGTGAATAGCGCTTGTGTCTGTGGATGCTCCTGGGTCTCACGCATGCTTTCCTGTGACCATGGGGAAATGGGCTTTTGTGCGCGTGGGTTTGTTGCCACAGGCTCCATGGACGGACCTTCACCTGCTTGTCCCAGATGGGTCCTGGGCCGTGGGGATTGCGTGCGTGAGCCTGGGTGTGAAGGCAGGGCCACTGGCCAGAGTGACTGGCAGGACGTGTCCTGAGAGACTGGCCCGGGCCTCGCATGTGTTTTCATGCCAGTAGAGAGATTGACCACCGTGGCCTGTGGGGAAGGGTGTGGGTGTAGAGACCCTGTGATGGGAGCTGCCATCCAGGGGCCGGGAGGGAATGGACAGAGGAGGAACAGCGGCCTTGAGTAGGTGGGTGGCAGGTACAAGTTGGTGGTCCTCGACCAGAGCTGCGCCCCCCTGCCCCGCCTGGACCCTCCCTCCCAGGCTCTGCATTTCTTCAGAGCCTCTGGCCACCTCCTTGCATGGCAGTGCCGTGGAGATGCAGGGAACAGCATAGCCGGAAGGCCAGAGGCATGAGTGTGTCTGTCCAGCTTTCTGGAACTTTCTAGTGTTTTTCTACAATGCTGGCCACTCCTCCCTTGGAGCGCATTGTCCCCCCTTGAGGGTCCTGGGTTGGGTTTCCCACCATCCTCCGCCCCACCCGGGACCCTAAACACCACAGTGAAATGTTGCTTGTGGAGGAGGAGGAGGAGGAGGAGAACAGCCCTTGAACTCCTAACAACCAGCTGCTAAACAGACCTTGGGAACGGAACCTGCTTTTCAGGTGGGGCCATCTGCCTCTGACTCCCAGTTGGCCGAAGGGGCAGAAATTTAATCGCTGCCATTAGCGGGCTGTAACCCATCATTTAATGGTTTAGAGGGTGATATGATTCACTAAATTATATTCATTTCAAGGCATATTGTGAGAGGGTGTGAATTCCTCCCCAGTGGCTGGGAGAGATAAAGCTTCTTCCGCAGAGCAGAGCTCAGTCTGAACCGGGCCGTGGGGCGCAGTAACCTTTGTCTCTCTCTGATTTGTTGGGGTGGGGGAGGGGGAGGGGTGTTCTTATCTCCTTCATGTTCCGAAGAACAAAGTCAGCAACCGGCAGCCGGAATTGTAAAACTAGACTTGGTGCACCTGTCAGCGCCAGACCTTCTAGAACTTCTGGCCCTTCCCCCCCTCTTTCCTTCCTTCCTTCTCCCCGCCCTCCTCCTCCTTGCGTTTTCTCTCTGGCCAAACTGGTCTGGCGAGATATTACTTTCACTTCTTTGGAGTCTGTGCCTCCAGCTCTGCTTGGGCTGGGGAACTGTCCAGTGCTCATTCCTCAATGGCCTGGAGCTAGGTGGGAGCTCCCTGCCTAGACGGACTACCACTAACACTGTCTAGCACTGTCCTCCCATTGTTCATCGATTTGCCCGGGCGGGCCCTGTAATGTCTCCATCGTGAGACTTGTTACTGTGTTTGTTTGGCATATCGAATATGCCAAAGGGAGTTTGCCAGGCCCTGCCGTGCAGGCGGGATACTCTTGGTAGCTGGCTGGGCTCTCCAGGAGGGACGTAGGAATCAAACCTGGGCCAGCCGGGTTGGCCGCGTGCAAGGCAAATGCCCTACCCGCTGTGCTATCGCTCCAGCCTGCCTAGACAGAGAGAAGCAATAAAAGCCAGTGTGTTTGCTCCTTTGAAAAAGTACTTTCTGTGGTTGTTGCTGATGTTGATGCCATCCACGTGTCACCCTTCAGCCTGCAGAAGGGACCTATCATGTCCTGACTGATACATGCTTCAGCATTCCCAGTGCGATCACCATTTTACCCAGGTGCTGTCTGCCAGCCGGGATGCGACTGGAGGCTTCTAGCTCCCCTCCTGCCGTCTTCTTTTTACTTCCATCCTTCTATCTCCCAGCCGAATCTGGGTTCCAACTCTGCTCAATTGTGGCCCCGCTGGGCAGGGTGGTTCATCTCTGTCTTGCTTTGCCCTTCTCGAAAAAGAGGCTCACATCAGAAACCCTCCCTCGTGCTCTTCAGAGCCTTTAAACGAGCCGAGGCAAATAAAGCCACTGGTGCTGGAGATCCGAGTCTAAGTCCCGTGGCCCAGAACAGGCACTGGACCTGGTTGTGCATCTGTGGAATGGGTCTGTCTCTGCCTAGTAGGAGCGGGGAGCATGGACTGTGACTTCCTGTCCCTGTGCTCTGTCACCCCCAACAGAATCGGGGTCATGCCTGGTCTCTCATCTGTTCTACCTCATCTGGTAGAACATCTGGGTCACGGAGGATTTCTGTGACGGCCTGGAGAAGGGCAGAGAGTGGCTGTTGGGGAGACCAAGGCCCCACTGCTGGGGGTGACCCTACGACCTCAGCACTGCAGGAGAAGACCTCTCTGCTGTTCCTCCCACCCCCCAAAAAGCAGCGGCCTTCCCAAAGGTCTATCTCTCTCCGGGCAGTCTTCCCAGCCCATTGGTTTCCGCACCCGCTTTGCCCGGTACTTGTAGAGACTCTCCGGGTACTTGTGTAGGAAGGTCGGGTCCGGGTATTTATAGAACATTCAACAGGTGCTTTATCTTGTGTTGGGAAGCCTCTGGGCCCCAGGCCTTAAAGGAAGAGGCGCTGTCCGATCTCCAGGCCAGGATCTGAAGGGTTAAGGGCTCTTCCTTAGCTCCCCCTGGCCCCCCTGCCAGGCCTGCAGGGATGGGGGTGGGGTGGCCCTGGAAGGCCCCTGAGAAGGGGCTCCCGTGACCCTGCAGGGTAAGCACAGCCAGGCTCTTCCTTCAGCTTCCTAGGCGGAGCAGATGGCTCTGAGTGTTTTCATTAGCTGGGTCACTTGAGGTCTCAGGAGAGGAAATGAGCAGGGGAGGGAGGGAGGGGGCCTGGTGCTGCAGGGGTGCATCTCATCTGAAGCCTGGGGCCAGGGTGGGGGGCTCCTGCCTGGTAAGGGAGACCCCAGTTTCTGTGGAAAGACAGTTTGTGGGAACTGAGGCCCAGGGAAGCTGGGAGATTTCTATTTTTTGGGGAGGGGTGGGGTGGGGGATTGGGGCCACACCCCCCAAGTCCTTCCCAGGCCCAGGTTCCACCCAATTAGGCCTGGTGTCATGTGTTCCCTCCTGCCTGGATGGCCGTAAGCCGGGGGGCCTGCCAAGGGGCTCAGCCTCTGGGACCCCCAAGGGGCTCCTCCTAGAAGGGTCTGGGCTGTCGCTGTCTGCCCCCTCCCAAAGGGGTCTTATGTATTTATGTATTTATGTATTTATTTATTTATGTTTTGCTTTTTGGGTCACACCTGGCGATGCACAGGGGTTACTCCTGGTTACTCAGGGGACCATGTGGGATGCTGGGAATTGAACCTGGGTCGGCCGTGTGCAAGGCGACACGGCCGACATCCTAACTGCTGTGCTATCACTTCAGTCCCTTGGTGTTATTTTTATATTGGGGGGGGGTCACAGTTTGTTCAGGCCATCTCCAGAGATGCTCAGGACTGTTCCCTGATGGTGCTTAGGGAGACCCAGGTAGCTGCATGCTCTGTGAGCACTGTGTCTCCCTCCTCTCCGAGTCTCTCTCCGGCCCGTTTTAAACTCACTTGGTAATAATGGGCAAGTATAATAATGGGGTCTCAGCCTGCTGCTCTCCTGGTTCTTTCCCCATTCTAGACAGGGCCCCTGCCCCCCCCTTCCCGCGGCGTGTCCCTCCCCCACACACACATGCTTTCCATACGGCCCTCTGTGTGTGTGTATCTGTCTTTTTCCGTCTCTGTCTGTCTGTCTCTGTCTGTCTCTCTATCTGTCTCTGTCTCTCTCTCTGTTCTTGTCCTATAGCCACAACCACTCCCCCTGGCCCCTCCTTCCTGTACCTGCTGGCGTGCCGAGGGTTTCTCTGAGCCTTTGGCCTTTTTTCCAGGTCTTGGTTTTCTTTCTCTTCCGTTTCTCAGGGCATTTGGTCTCTGTTAGCATGTCTGTTAACGAAATGTTGGGCTTGCCTTGAGAATATTTGTCACTTTCCTGGATAACTGACAGCTCTGAGAACTGGGCCTTCTGAGATCTTTACGGAAAACAGTGGGCCGGGCTGGAGAGGGGCAGGAGGCCAGAGGTCAGCCCTCTGGGTCACGCTGGGCTTCAAAGGCTCCTCTTCTTGGGAACCTGGACTTGGCGCCCAAGGATCCCTCATTCTTTTGCTGTCCCCGCTCAAGGGCTGAAATGGGGGTGGGGGAGGCTTTACGGCTATGTTCCTGCGCATGGGCTCAGGAATTGAAGACGTAGCAGAAGTGTGTGTGTGTGTGTGTGTGTGTGTGTTCATGTGTATCTGTGTTTATGTCTGTATGTCCATGTGTGTGTGTCTGTGTCCGTGTGTGTATGTAGCTGTGTGTCTATGTATTTATGTATGTGTGTGTGTCCCCGTGTGTATGTCTGCCCATATAGATCTGTCTGTGTGTCCATGTCTGTATGTGTATCTATGTGTGTATCTGTGTTTGTCTATGTATATCTTTGTGTGTGTGTCTATCCATGTGTGTCTATCTGTGTGTGTCTGTATGTCAGTGTGTGTATATCCGTATGTGTCAGTGTCCGTGTGTGTGCATATGTCCATGTGTGTATGTGTGTGTATCCACGTGTGTGTGCGTGTGTATGTGTGTATCCGTGTGTGTGCAAGTGTGTGCATGTATCCGTATGTGTATGTGTGTGTGCATGTGCATATGTGTGTATCGATGTGTGTGCAAGTGTGTGTATATCCATGTGTGTGTGTGTGTGCATGCGTGCATGCCAAACCAGGCGGTGCTCAGGTTTACTCCTGGCTCTGCACTCTGGGATCACTCCTGGCCAGAGTCCAGGGACCATGTGGGGTGTTGGGGTCTGTCCAGGTGAAGC